ACTCCAGTTTATAAATGTATCACATAACTCAACAGAAACACATTTGATTACAAGTAATGTAGGATGGTGGATTAAAAGAGAGCAGTTTTTATTGCTTACAGATTGAAACAGGCTATACAACTGGAGAGATCTAAACACAGGAAGGGAATAAACAGGTTGCCTCTTTGAAAAGGAATGAGGAGAGATAAAATTAGGGTGATTGAATCTGTGTGTGCAGTAGAATACTGTAATCTGTCAAGTGTATCAGTAGAAGGATCATCATCTGGTATGTGTAATTAAAGTAAGAGGGAGAAAAAATAGCACTAATTATCTCTTTTTTTCAGAATAGTCTCAGAGGATCAGAGTGCTAGGTTATGCTAGGAATAGTGGATGGAAAATTATAGAGCAGTATAGCAAGTTATTGGATTGTGTTATTAAATGAAAGGAGCTCAATTTAGATCAAAATCTCTACGGACATAGGATTCAAGGACCATGATGCTGTTAAAATGCCTCAGAATAAAAAAAAACCCTGCTTATTGTGGCTTCATTCTTGGTTAAACTGCTTATCGTGGCTTCAAAATTCAGGTGTAGAATTTTGCTGCTGTTTACATTTTCCTCCCCAGTCAGGGAAGGAAACTGCTGTTCTTCCCAGGTCTAAATCCATCCTATTGCAGGAGTAGTAGTAGTAGTAGTTTCACTTTTAAGTATAATTCTTTCCAGGACTTTATAAAGATGAAAAAGTAGTGAGAAGTTTGGCTTGAAGTTTTTGGAGTTGTGTGAATTCAAAATGGCAATCATTCGTGATTTTTCCCATATTTTCAGAATATGGAGTCAGTGACAAACTGACTCTTATTGTTCTAGGCATGGTAAGTAGCCTGTGGAAAATAAGATAGGACCAACAGAAATTGGTTCTTTTTTCCTTTTAGATCAAAACCTACCAGCATAAGGAAATCTGAGCATGAACTCTAAGCATTTTTGGGGATCTGTTTGCTTTACTCACATACAGAAAAGCTGGACACTGTTTATACAGTTCATGCACAGTATATTCTGCTCACCACCATTCACACTTGTTGAAAAATAACCCTGACAATTGCTAGCTTCTGGGATTTTCCCATGTGTGGTGTCAGTTTGTGAAGACCATCTTGACTTCTGCCCTTGGTTTTTCAACATTTAGGTTGTTCTTTGCTATGTAAAGCTTAGCATCCTTTTTCCTGCAATGTGGGCACAATGTTGTACAGCAATATCAGGACATTTCCTGGTTTTTCAATCATAGATACAGATGCATAATATCCTATATTCATAAATCAATTTTTTTGAAGAATTTTATTTTTCTAAACGTTGGATATAAAATACTGTGCTGTCAGTCCATTGCCTATAGGATTTGTCCTTGCTTAAAGAGTCAGAGAAAGTGACCAGCACAGTATGCATTTTCAGGAGTGAGGAGATAACAGTAACTTTATTGCAGGTCTGTTGTTTTCAATTAATTTTAAAAACTAACCTGCCTTCGCTCCCTGTCCACATACCACTCTTTCTTCCTGCAAGTCCAATGTTACATAAAACCAACTAAATAGCATAAATTACAAATATCAGGAAGGTCTTCCCTGTGTCAGGTTTAGAACCAATTCTAAGAATGAGGCATCATTAGACAGAAGGTATCTGATTCGAAGAAGCACTTAACAGGATTTGGTTGAGCATATCTGGTTAAAAAGCTATAGTGTGGGCAAAAGAAACCTTTTACCAAATGATTTGGTGGCTAAAGACAAAATTGTCTCAGTGCTCTGAATTCCTCCCACGCCTCAGCTTAGCCATTCAGCATTTTCCCCTTTGGGAGACAGAGCTGCAATGACTGTAGAGCTGTAATTTTGTCTCAGTAATATGGCATTGGGCCACCTATTTAGATCAGTTTATCATCAGCGCCTATTGCTGTTCCCTAGTTCAGTTCCTCAAGGAATAATTATGAATTTCAATAGCCCAGTGAAATAAACAGTTCTGCTCTGGCAACAGATAAGGAAGGAAGAGTGTTAATAATTATTTTTCCTTTCTATTTTTAAATGCATCCAGCCATATTCTTGCGATCTGCAATCAGTTCTTATTCAGTCTGTGAACACAAAAAGAGACCCCCTACTGGTTCAGACTGAGCCCCATCTTAATATATCATTCTGTTTCTCATAGTGGCCAGCCAGATTAAATTCATTCATTTAAATCATGTTTTTCCTCCAAAGATAAAAACAAGAGCTGCCTGCCTAGTACCCTCCCCATCTTGTATCGTCAAAGCCACCCTGAGAAACAGTAACTCAGGCTGAGAAGTAGTGGTTTATTTTAATGGCCAAATCCTAATCTGAGTCTCTAACTCAGGAGCCCAGGGGGTGGGCCTTTTTTTCCTTTAAGGGGCACAAACTCTTGGGATAATCTGCCAGAGGAGTTGCATACCAATGGGTAAAACTAAAGGACGAATGATGATGGCGGACAGTACCAGAGCCAAAAGTTGGCAACCTTTCTTCTATTTCCTCCCCAATTAGCAGGCTGCTAGTATAAGATGCTTGTCATTCTTTGAGAGAGTTTGATTGACCACTTTTAGAGGGTTTTTACATGAAATCAAGCCACAGACTAGGGCTGTGTTTACCACTCCCTACCTACTCACCCGTTCACACACAGTAGCTGCTACACTGTACTGGCTGTGCTGCCCAGCAATTGGTATTCAGTTACGTATTAGCCCTGTTCAAATATTGTTTGCCTGATTGTATATAAGACTAAAACTGAGAATTGGGATTTAAGTGGGCATGAAAATCCAATGTCCGTAAGTGCAAGTGGAAGAGCTTTGTTAGAACTTTGCATGTCTATAGAGAATTCCTGTTACAGAATTCTGTGATTAGGAACACATGCTTAATAGGGTTCCTGTTTGCAGAACTATGTACAGTACAGTAATTGTATTCAACTTTCGTCACACCTTTACACTTACTACCATGCCGTGGTGGCATCCCCAGTCATTTTGGAGTTGTCCTAGGTTGTTCCGGTATTTCTTGTTAGAGATTTGAATAGATCCTTCCAATATTGGCATCCACACATGGGGAGAGGGGTTTGTTGCTAGATATATTGGGATGCAATGGGTTCTTGCAGTAGTACCACCTGTTCACACACATCTAGAGTTGCTCTGTCTGAAAGAGTTCTTAGTGTAATATCTTTTTAAAAACGATCTAAAGATCAAGCTACACATTATATTAATCACAGGATTTGCCCATGGTGTTTGATTTTTCTTTTATAAGTATCCAGCACAGAGATGGCATCTGATCTGAATTGAATCTCAAAGGAAAAAATGTGTATTCAAGGATAAATCACCTAATCAGAACATACTGTTGACCCTACTTTCTGTGGAAGTAAGTTTCCAGAATCAGTTACGAAACTGCATAAGGAAGTCCTTTTTTAAAATCCTGAATCAACTGGCAGTTAATTTAAGTACAGTATATAACTCTTGAGTTCTTCTTTTTCTTCACACCAGGCATCATTTTGTAAACCTCTGTAATGTTTTCTCTTCAGAACCAAAATCACACCCTGCTGCAACCTGATAATTTTGCTTGCCATTTTCTGTATCTTTCCAGACTGTCAATAATTTCATTTTTGATATGAGGTGACCATAACTTCACACAGTATATCAAACAAAGCCACATTATAGAAAATAAGGAGCATCATGATTCTGTCTGTCTTGTTTTCAGTCCCTTTCACTTGAAAGTCCTCAGTGTGGAGGTTCTCTTTTTCACTGCGGCCACACACTGTTCGTTCCATGAGTCAGATCCCTTCACTGTATCTCTGAAGTTAGGATATCTTGCCCAATCCGACATCCATTTACATTTTCTTACACTTACATGTGTAAACTCTTCCCATGAGGTTTTGAGGCCAGAATACAAGTCACCAAGGGCTGAATGTAATGCTCTGATTACAGAGCTCCTGCAATTGCCAGCTTGCCCTTATGCAGGCCAGGGATAACACCTGTTGAATTCAGTGGACTTACATTGATGTTGGGAAGAAAATAAAATTCACTGGCTGCCTGAGATACCCAAAGGTTAGGCTGAGGAAAGCGTACAATTCTTGTTGCTAAAAACAAAACAAGAGACAGGAATGCCATGTCTTAGAGAGTCATTTAGTATCCTTATGTTCCTTTTTCCTCAAATTAGGTAGGTACACTGAAATTCACATGAAGAGTTGACAACTCTTCTTCCCAGCTTTTGCTGCTCCTGCATTTCCTTATCTCCCTTTATTTTAGGTTCCACCCTTCTGATCGTTTCCGTAACTGTCAGTTCTTTCCCTCCCTCCAGTCTGCAGTTTTGGATCAAAACAGCTGTTGCCTTTGAATCAGAAATGTCCTTTTAGCCTTTCCCAGAAAAAATCTGCATCTCTTTTCAAGCTGCATGTTTTGAATAGTTGCAGCACAGCATTGGCAGCCAATCATTTATACATATTTCCTGGAAAATAGCCTGCTTTCTTTGTTGTTGTGTACAAGTAGTCATGTAGTCGTGATGACTGGCAGAGAAGGCAGACAGTCAGTGAGCAGAAAGGTGCATCCAGATCCAACAAAGAAAAGACCTTCCTAGTTGTCAGTTTTGAGAGATGGCCGTATTTCTGGTTTCGTTTGGAAGATAACCAAACTTCTCCTGATCCCACCAACAGGTTCTTAATACTGCCAAACTTAGCAATCTTGTCAAGAGCATGGTGCTTATTTGCACAGAGCAATACATCTTGTATCAGCCTTTTGTCTATTTTGTCAGATGGTCACTGTTAACTAGAAATATCAGGCAAAGACTAGAAAGACATCATGTTGTGTTCTAGAGTAGCTGAATAACATTAGAGTCATAGACTGATATGCAAAAAGCTCTTTGTCCATGAACACAAATACTATATATTATGTACCTCAGGTGCCTCATTTATTTGTCTTTTGGGCTTCAGATGCTGTCCTGCCTGGAACATCTTTACAATCAAGATATCCATATGTGCTTAATACCGAGCAGTTTTTCCTTTCCCTTCCACAGTTGGCCATGGGCAGAGTGAAGGAGACCGTATGGTTGTGTCAGACTTCCATGTGTTTGTGAGAGACTGCTTGCAGCACATTGACCTCATGAAGAAAGATCACCCAGGCCTCCCTGTGTTCCTTCTTGGGCACTCCATGGTAAGAAAGCTGCACTAATCCTATTTAATGGAACCTTTGCCTCTTAGATGCCTTTTCTGTCTCCTGTGGATACTAGGAACAAGACTGGGCTTATATTCTGCCAACAGACATGGCCATGAGCGATTGTACAATACACACACACACACCACCCACATCTCTTGTTTCTCTTTGGTCACCAAAGAACTATCAAACCAGAAGTTCCAAAAATATTTTTCCAAAAAATATTTGCCCCCAAAACAGATTGCCCAGTTGTGTCCCTCTCTGAATAAGAAATCCCTACAATGGTTCATACATTGGTAATCTCCAAAAGAGACTACTGTAATGTTCTCTACATGAAGCTGCCTGTGAAAAACTTACAAAAACTTCAGCAGGTCCCAAGTGCAGAGGCCAGACTGATTTCTGTGATTGATAAATTTGATCATGGATCTCCAGTCTTGGTTTGCTTTCATTGGCTTCCTGACAGTTTCCATGCTCAGTTCAAGGTGCTTTATGACATATAAAGCCCTTAGTTGTTTAGGACCTCAATATTTGTCGGAATGTCTCTCTCAGTAGTCAGTAACTATTTTCACCGGCTCCTCTCAAAAGGTTACTAAAATTGGCCATACCAAGGGAGGACAAAAAGGTGAGAACAAGGAATTGGGTCTCTTCTGTGGTAGCCCCCCATCTTTGGAATAAGCTACCAACTGAGATACACCAAGCGCCTTCCTTCCTGATGTTCAGGAAATTGGGGAAAACAGAATTATACAAAGCTACCTTCAGTAACTGATCCCCCAATGCAGTTAATATTAAATTTTTTATTGTAATAACATATAATATAAAGTAAGGTGCTGCACTGCCCTAGGAAACAAGATAGAAAATAAATTGGTTCCACAGCCAACCATAACGTTTCAAATAGGATGAAATGCAACATATTTTAAAGACCACTGGTCTGTTAGGTGAAAGTCTCCTATTGGTCATTCCATTTCAGCCCCTAATCAGGGTTAGTGATTGGCACAATTGTGCAACCGGGAAAAGTTGAAACATGTCTTCTACTTTATTCCATCACTTTGGAGCCTTTCTGGAACCCCAGTGAATTCTAATCCAGGCCACAGTTGTATTTGCATTAGGAGGCAAATACAGTTGCAAGCTCCAAATTCTTCCTAGTTGGATGAGTAACAGTATGCGTCACCATTTCCGGTTCAGTCTGGCTTCCCCCGTCTCTTTGAAAGACCTATCTTTTTCAGAGCTTATTTTTTTTTAGGATTGGAAGGAGGGAAAATTGATGGTTGTCAGAAGACACACTAAAATAATTTCATACGGCTATTCTCTCCCTGCCCCCCTAGCACATCTTCAAAGAAAACAATGATTTTTGAGATGAGCCAAGAGGAGTTTACCCATCACTCGTCAGAAAGTGACTCATTTGGATGAAAAGGATGTCTGGTTTGAAGCGCACAGTGTGCCTTTCAAGGGAAGTAGGCTGTAGCAAACATATTGATATATAGGTCTTCGTCCTAATAAAGGCAGATATATTAATCTTGCTTCTTCTTCGTGGTCTCTATGAATGCACACTAATAGGTTAATTCTGCGCATGCACAGAGATCTCTGGAATATTCTAGAGCTTTATGCTAATCGAACCCATTAGTGTGAATTCAAAGAGTACCACTCGAAGAACCAGAGTTACAGGTAAGTAACCTCTCTTTCTTTTGTATGGAAATTTGATTGTGGCTCTTCAGCACCATAATTGTTCTCCAAGGATTTCCTGGGCAACCAGTTGTTTGTGATCGGTGCTGACCACTTGTGTTTCCTAATGACGGATACCGACTATCACACTGAACAAGACACAGCAATGTGAATCCCAAGATAGACTTGGTACTTGATCAGTTCAACAAACAAACAAAAACATAAAGAACTTGAGAGACTGATTGGTCAAATATTGTTAAATAATACTGGGATGTTTAATTTATTCATTTATTAAAAAAAGAAAATGATGCTAATTGTAAAGGGTAGAATTTAAAAGTTCCTTAGACCAATTCTTCCCAGAAGCTTGAAAGCTTGAAAAAGCTAGACCACATGGTGGTCATCCTCTGCACAGCAGATACAGTGGGCTTGGTTTTATGCCTGTCTCTTAAAAGAAGCATGGGCAATTCTCAGAGGTCTAGGGGCCATACACATCCATTTCTGGATCTTGGAGCGCTGGACCTACTCCCATGATCTGTATTTTCTTACAGAGATCTTTATCCTAAACTGCAAAGGCCCCCTTTCATCCTCTACTACTGGTTACTCTTAATTGGTTCAAACATCAATCCAAATGGAGACTGCAACCAAGAAATTGCAAGAAGACTAAGGCTTGTAAGGGCAGTAATGAAGGAATTAGAAAAGATCGTCAAGTGTAAGGATGTTTTACTAGAGACCAAGATCATCCATACTCTTGTATTTCTGCTCACTATTTGTGAGTGTGAATGCTGGACAGTAAAGAAAGCTGACAGGAAAAAAACTGATTCATTTGAATGGAGGAAAGCTTTGCAGACAACCTGGACCACCAGAAAGAGGATCAAGTGGGTCCTAGGCCTGAAATATCTCTGGAGGAAAAATGTTGAAGCTGAAGCTGTCATATTTTGGGCACATCATGAGAAGGCAGAAGAAGACCAAATGCAAGATGGACTGACTCCCTAAAGCAGGGGTCAGGGAACTTTTTTTATCTTTTACCTCCCAAAAGATTTATATAAGCCAACATTACCCCCTTGATTTGAAAGGAAGGAAATGATACAGTATTTGAGGAAGCCACCCTTTTTTCATGCCTTAATTCAAGCCTTGCCTGTTCTTTTCATAGTTTTGAGTTAGTCTCTCTCTCTCTCTCTCTAAAGAACTGAGGATTTACAAGTGCCCTGCTACAACCAAGGAAGTAACAGGGAGAGGTGGCTTACAATTTGAAGTTTTGCTGCAGGGGGTGGGGGTGGGAGAGAGGGGGATAGCGCTCTGCTCATTACCCCCAGGATTTTCACGTTTATGCCATTTGGGGTAATTTATCCCTGTTCCCCGACCACTGCCCTAAAGGAAGCCAGATACTTGACTTTACAAGAGCTGAGGACAGGACAGTTGAGGACAGGACATTTTGAAAATCACTTATTCATAGGGTTGCCAGGAATCAGAGGTGACTTGACCGCACATAACAACAACAGCAACAACACAGACAGCACATTCACCAAATATAGGGGAGCAAGTTTGTGCCTGCTAGCTATGCCCCCAGTGGCAGAACCTCTCCTGGCCAGACTGAATCAGCAGATAGAACACAATGCAAGTCTTTCTTCCATGTAGTTATTTGACCAAAACCAAATAAAGGGTAAACCACTGACTGTTGTAGTCCAGTAGACATATTTATGACCTTAGAGCTACTGTTTTTTATTGGAGTTTTAAGAACCTGGTTTTGAATATCAGGAAGTAATTGACACTCTTAAGTAATGGGCAGAGCTCATTACAGAATTTCAGCGGGGACCTCCTCCCCACTTCAGTCAGATGCCACCTATACTGTAGGTATACAGTGGGCTAACATTCTCCTGTTCTTTTGGTTTTCTGTTTTGGACTTCGTTTTTATTCATTCTGCCTTGGCTTGCCTATTTGTCTGTCCGCTTATTTGCTATTTCAGTTTTTCTTCTTGCATCATTCCGTAATTCAGTGGCTTCTTCCACTCATTCTCTGGTGCACATTTCTGTTCTTGACTTTTTGTGCCTTTCTTCTACATAAATAGGAATCAAATGTCCTTTCTGCACGCCTAGAACAACACAGCCTTAACTTCTTCCAACTGCCATGTTTCTGAATAGCAAATTAATGGCATAATGGCGTTTACTCCCCCTTTTTCTCCTATGTTTTATGTAACTAGTTTGTGTTTGATATACATGAATGAGTTTGAACTTGATCCCTCACATCCTGGCTGTATGCTGATCCTCAGGACAGCTTCTTTTGCCAGCATGGTGCTCTGAGTTTTCTGGAGAGTCCAGATCATTGGAACCCTTTTTGAGGCACAGCTGTAAGCACTTTGGCACGCTAAGACCAGCTGGTGAATTGTACAAGAGGCGCACACTTGCACCAATGATGTAAAAGTCGAGTTTGCCAACTTCACAGTCACTTTGAAACCTGAAAGAAAGACCCATTGTAGCCAGTTAAGATCAATTCTACATGAAAATGAGGCCTGAGCTAAGTTGGACTTTTTGCTGTGTGCAGTAGGGAATTCAAGTGAATAGCTTTTGCTGGATGGTTGCTCATCAGTTCTGTAGAACAAATTGTCAGGATTCCTGGGGCAGAGACCTTGTTACTGTGCCTCTTTGTAAAGTGCTTCAAATCTGTCTTTGCTCTCCTGAGCTGAAGCCTCACAACAGCCATCCAGGCCATTATTCAAAACATTTTCTTGCTTTTCTTGTTGCAGGGAGGAGCCATCGCCATCCTCACCGCATGTGAAAGACCAAATGACTTTACAGGCATGGTATTAATTTCTCCATTAGTCGTTGCGAGCCCAGAAGTGGCGACACCAATCAAGGTAAAGATCTGGAAGGAAATGAATTTCCAGCACACCAGCTAAATGTCAGCTAAGCATCTCACACCTGATAGCTCTGTCTTTTCCCAGTCCTTCCAGTTATACATGTGGATTTGCACTACAATTACATGCATTGTAAAACTTTAATCTTGTTAATGTAAGAATGGATTCAGAGGAAGGCTTGTGGTCAGTGGAAAAGATGAGAGGCTTAAACATCTGTTACATGTGAAGAGGAAAATCTTACTAATAGCTTTTTCTTACAAAAAGCAGCAGGGGAAAGGTACCATTTGAAGCAGAAAAACAGATGAGACCATAACTTGTTGCCTTTTTTTCTTGCTTTGCCTTGGAAACGCTCCTTTCTGAAGCTGCTTTTCAGTCACGGTACACCAGAGTCAGGGTTGCTTTTACAAAGTCACTGCAAATGGAAGGACACTTAGCATTCATAATTCCACCTTATGACATAAAATTTCCATCCAGTTGGGTAGAGGGATTTGGAGGTTGCGTCTCTGTCTCTGTGTGTTTGAAACGGGGGAGGTAGTCAGTCTGCCTACCTTCATAGGCCATTATAAGAGTACATATGTTTAAGTGGATGCACACATCAATTGGGCTTCAGATAGGAAAAAGTATTGGCGTTGCTTAACAAAAAACACAGGTGCATTTACTTAGTCTCTGTTTTTAGCTGTTCATTTATGGTGGAGAAATCTTTTAATAGTTTCTGTGCATAGTGCATATCATACTTCCATACCAGCACCTGGTATGGTGTGTACCAGAATAAACCTGTTCTACCAACAATATCCTGGCAGAAAACACTTCTTGCTACCACCCGCCACTTCTCAACTTTGTTTACTAGGAGTTCCATCGGCTACTCCCAGATCTTTATCCATTAAGGATGTGTGACAAAGATCTCAATAACTGGAAGCTGATGTGAGGGAGTATTAAGACTTCCTCTCCTCAGGCCAGGACCATAGGGGTGGGAAATATGTAATGGAGCCAGCTCTACCCACCTCCTTTTGCTAACCTGCTGCTCTTTCTTAATTCCCAAACCATCAGTTAAATGATGGTGTCTGTCATAGCTGTCCCATTCCCAGTCCAGTTGATTGGCCATTAATAATATGCATGGCTTAAGTCTTAAATGCCACTTATCTTTAAAAAAAAGAAAGAAACTCCAGAATCCACAGATGGACAATACCATTCATTATACAAAATCATCATCATAGGCATCCTTCAGTC